GGACAAACCATCTGTAAAAAGTTTCTGGTTTGCCAGATTTGATTACAGGCCCCCAAATGGGAGGATGACGTTTTTAAAGCCTTGGCTATTATTTTTTTTTCTTTTTTTAACTCTTTCCGCTCTGTGGGCACTAAAAGGGTCTCTTTTTGCAAGCCCATTATGGGTTCGGCCAAGCCCACAGTGCGGCTGCCGGGTGGTGAGGGACGGGGCCCGACATATCCAAACGGACCACCTTCCGAAAAATTCCTGGGGATTTTTTCGACCCGTTCGGATTCGAACCCAGGTTCCTCAGAGCGGTAGGCTGCCACCTTGACCGCTCGGCCATCCGGCCACACGGCTATCCATTCATAAAGCTATACAGATTATAGAATGTCAAACAAATATTTATCATTAGAGGCAATATTATGCTATAATTTGAGTAGTATTTCGATATTTCCGATTCATCAAATCATCTGTTATCATTAAATATTAAGATATTTATAGTTTTAAACTATTAAAATATTATTTAGTTTAAGATTTTTACGATAAGTTATTATATAACAAAAATGTAAACATGTTATTAGCAAACGTTAAAAATTGGTTTTGCTTATACTCTTCCTATTCTAGTACAATAAAATTATTTAAAATTAATTAATAAATTTTCAGAAATTATTTATTTGAAATGATTGGACCGAAATCAAATTATAATAGGAAACTAAGAATGACTAGATAATGTTCGAGATAGTAAAATTGTTAGTCGTTCTAGACCTAGAGGAACTGATTTCGAATCTCTGTCGTTTCAGGAATGTCATAGATGGTTTGACTCGAATAAGTCAAGCTCGACTTTCATCACCCCTATAAACCTAGTGAAACTCATGAATGTGAAAAATGCCTTCTTAGTACTCGTTGGATCACCAAAGTGGCTAAGGCTGTCCACATATTTCTCCGGGAGCAAGTGGGAAAATGAAAATAGAACGGTTAAGATGCAAGCAGCTTTTGCAAGTTATAATGTAAAAGCTATTAACAATTTTGTGACTATGATTTGACTGTCAAATGTCTATTTTTAAAATTAATATTCATTAATCACATAATTTTAACAGGTTTTTTCTTCCATTCCATGTTTTGCCGGCCACTAACCGCATTGTATAGAATTGATGAGATTCTAAACTGATCCGGATATTTATGATTTTTCATAGATATTTTAGATCGAGTCATGTGATGGCTTGAGTCCTCCATGACTTCAAACTTTTCCTCCATATCTCGCAGCCTCTAGCCTAAGATATAAGCTTATGATAGGTCCTAAATTGTAAGACAACTCTGATTAATTTCTATCCAACTTCTCCTCGTTATCTCCTTGGTCTCATCCCTTCTATTCTTTCGTAGAGAGCTCTGTTAGGTAGCCTTTCTGGCTTCATTCGTTCCATGTGTCCAAACCCACATAGTTGTTTCTTAGTTATTCTTCTCGTGATCAACATGTTGATCACGAGAAGAATTTTGAAGTTCAAGTCCTGCCTAACTCTCTCGTTAGTCTTCAGTTCAATCCATTTGGTTTCATTTATACGTCGTAGGCATTTCATCTTAAATGCAGCCAATCTCTTCTCTTCCTGTTTGTTCAGAATCCACACTTCTGAGGCATAAGTTAGGGTTGGAACACTAATAGTGTTATAAAGTTTGATTTTAACTTCTTTAATGAACTTTTTATTATTCCATATTTTATTCAGTCTGTTAAATGCAATTGCTAACCAGTGCTTAATCATTTCTGTTACTTAAATTGTCAGTGATGAGGGCTCCAGGTAACTAAATTTATTTACCTGTTCAAAAAGTTTTCCTTCTAATTGTACATTTAAAGTTTACCTGCTTCTAGATATCATCATTATTTTTGTTTTATCAATATTAATCAACATATTGAATTTTTTTGCTACTTGATTCAGCTTTACCAATGATGATTCTATTTTACTTTTTAAATTTGCGATCAAAGCTAAGTCATCCGCATACTTAATATGGGCTAGACTATATCCATTTAAATTAATACTATCCAAATCAGCTAGTGTCTTATCAGATATTTCTTCAAGGTAGATGTTGAAATGGAGGAAAAGAGCCGGCATTGTTGTAATTTTTTCTTCATAGTTATCTTGTCAATGATCATACTACTGTATTTTACTATGCTATTAGTGTGATTTTAAATGATATGCCAGAAAGCGTAGAATCTCGTTATCTATGGGTGTTTATTTCAGGATCTCCAGTAGCTTTTCTCTGTTCATCGAATCAAATGCCTGTTTAAAGTCTATAATGCAAAGGCATAATTTATGATTATATTTTCAGTGTAGATCTGCTAGCCTGAATAAAGTAAATATTCGGTCAATTGATGCTATTCTGACAATATCTCAACTGACAATATTGCAGGAAAACTTAAAGAGAATAACCAAGTTTTCCTGCAACATTCTCAGTTTCCCTGGTTTGTATAAAGATCTGATATTGATCGTGACAATATGCCGAATTTGTTTGCTTGAGCACATATCCAACCTATGTAAAACTCGGTTTGGTGCATCGGCAGTTTCGGACTCAATAGCATTATCTTATTTCTTCAATTGTTGCGTTTTCATGGAGGTTTAAGACACAGTAGTGTAGCCGACTTTTCAATCCTCTGCTATACCTTTTGGTCCACGGCTCCTTATTCTTTATTCGGGACGTCCGTTAGCGATTTCTTCATTCGTGAAAACGGACGGACACTGTTTTCTCGCAAAAAATTCGACCAAAACAAAATTGAAAATATTTGAACTTTTCTGTTTCTGTTTAGTTTTTGGTTGTAATTTAATTAATAGCACAACTTTTCGTAGTGACATCAACAAATTGAAAGTCGTTTCGACATTTTCAACAAGTTTCAACATTTAAGAAAAATGGCGGAAAAACAAATGTTGCATTAAGAAGTTACTTGTAATGAACAGAAACGAAGAAACTTAAACAAATGTCTTCTATTTTGAATATAGTAATTATTTTCCGTTAATTATTTTAGTTGGTTTTCATGTAGTATGGAGATTAGCCGTAATAGAAATTAAAATGAAACAAAATGATGTAGTTCTTCATTTTTTCTTATCAGTTTGTTTTGATTAACATGGAGTTCAGGAATAACACAGTAGAATAAAAAGTTTTCGTGGTTTCATTATCATATTTTTATTGTTTTGAGGAGCTGAACAAATTGTTAAAGTCTTATTTCGTCTACATATAACACTTTCCCTTAAAATTATGAATGTTTTTAGTTAATGTAATTTTTTAATATTTGTAATTTTGAATTTGTAATATAGCTAAACAAATTGCTTATCGATACATTTTCTTTTAAATATCATTTTCATTCAAACGATAACTATGATTAAGAAAACAGGCAAAATTTAATAATAGTTGTGAATCATTGTAATTATATCATATTGTAATTTTTAAAATACCATGCACTCAAACTGACAACACATGATCATATATTTTTTACAAAGAATGATTCTTTTAAATAATATTTTATTTTAATTTAAATGTGTTTGTACACGACAAAATGTATTGTACTGTACATGTTGCGTGTATTGTTATTGAATAAAGTGGATGATCTTAGAGAAAAATCTATCTCAGGTAGAGTGACTCTACTGCATTTTTAAGAATCAAAGCCGGAACAAATTCAGAAAATAATTTAACATATCCGGAACAGTTTACATATTATTATTTTTTTTATTGTTTAAGTTCATATAATATTCAGCAGGTCGAAAAACCTCAGGAATTTTTTGTGGGTAGTCTATTCAGATGTGTCATCTCTCACCGCCTGGCCGCTTCATAATGGGCTTACTAAAAAGAGATTCTCTTAGTGTCCATAGGGTAAAAAGAATTTTAAAAAATATATACTGTATATGTAATTAATTAAAGCTAGCTATTGAAGTTGTAATATTATATAGACGAATCATTTTCAAACAAACTATAATACAAATTTTATCATTTATTATATTTTTTTTCAATTTATGATAACTTTACACTTCGAACTTTTATATTTTATTACTAAACGCATAAATTTTAGAAATATATCGCTAGGATGAAGTATTTAATGTTTCATGCCTGAGATGCTACGTCCTTGGACAATTGTATAATCAGCGTTCCGTGTAGTAACGTCAATAGAATTAAGCATAACTGTCCGGAACAGGAATCCTTCTCTATTAATCTATAATCTCTGTTTTCTGTATAAACATGTTTGCTTCTATTTTCTCTGAAAAAGTTTTAACACATAAACTAACTATTTAGCTTATTTTAATTCGATATTTCTCGGCATTTTATAAAGCGATCCATTTGAACTGCCGTAAATATTAATTAAACGTGTACTTTTTTGAGGCCTATCTCCATTTCAATTAAATCTCTTGTGTTTATTTCTTGTGTCTATAATATTTTAGTTATATTCGAAAAAAAGTTAAGGAGGAAAGCGAAGTATACGCATCTTTCAAATTGATTAAATATAAAGTTTTTAAATAAATTTTTCGTGATTTACCGCAATATTTCCGCGAATTACAGGTGGTTCGGTTGAGAAATATAAATAAAACTGATATTAGAAGAGTATATTTTATATGTGTTTAGTTAAAATGCATTATTTTATTTTATATCATTGAATTTAATTAGTTTATAATTTATATAATTCAATATAATATTTACTTCAAAAGAAATTTTCACATAATTTTTAATTAAAAGAAATGATATCAGGGTTAAAGGTTAACTTTAATTTAAATATAATTTTTCTTTCTGAATTTTTTAAAAGATTTCTTAATATTTTATTCAAACTTTATACAGTAATTTTTATCAGCTTTTGCACGAGATAAGATTATTCTAATTATCAATTTCCAATTAAATATATGAAATAGAATCAAATATTAAACTAAGCATTTTTATTATCGAAAAATNATACATAGAAATTATTAATTTATAATAATATTGAATGGATTTTTAAATAAATAAATAATAATAATAAATAAAAAATTACAAACATGTTTCATTCTAAACACTGTAATCGTAATTTGATAAAATCCATTCACTGAATCGTGATCTCGGGTTATCACGTTACTCGCCGAGAACGTGCGAAGTATGGAACAAGATGGCGGTCGACTTGGGGAGTGTGCGGGTAGAAGAGCGTTTAAAGATTAAAATCGGTGAGTTAATTAAGTTTTATTTCATTCGTTTAGGTTGAATTATAAATAGAATATTAACGTGTAATTTTTTAAACGTATAAAAATGGAAATAATGGCTTTCGTGAATTCATTTTAAGCCACTTCCGATGTTGTTTATGCGTCATGAATGAATGCAAACAGGCAAAATATTTCAAAAAAATAATAAATAGAAAAAAAACCTAAACAAAGTTTTTTTTTTAAAATCATTTTCTTCACGATAGAAATACGAGAGGAAATTGATACGATTCGTATGATCTTATTAATGTATGTGATTTAAATTTCCTAGAAGTCTAATGATTTTATCTTCCTCTTTTACATACTTTCATTACATTCTTATATGATCTTGTAATTTGAAAACCGTATAAAACTTTATATTAAAATATTAACTTATGTATATTTAATGAATGCAATCAGAAACATGTTCATATCATTAAACTTTAAAAGACAGATAGATTACATGCAGCTATCTCATCATTATGAAAAAGATTACTCATTGATATGAATAAAATCACCTAAATTCGTGAGTTGGTGACCTTCATTCTGACCTTAAATATAATTTACTATACACAAATAACTGCTAAATGAATATATTTTGAATCTTCTTAATGAATTCTCTTTTTATTATTACTTTTTAAATTGATTTATATGAATTTATAGAAAATTAAAATGAATTAGCATGTTCTGATGATAAATTTTAATTATTTATAAGAAATTTCTAAGTATTTCTTCTTAGAATAACATGTTACTTTGAATCAAATGTTGTTTATCAGTAATTCTTTGAAATAAAATGAATGATTTCTTATCAGTTTTTAATCATTCTTTGATAATATGTGATTTATAAATTTAAATGATTCGTTTGGTTATTACGTATAATTTACCGGAATGTAATTATTCTTCGAATAATTTATGTATGTAAAATACTTAACATTTTAATTAAAAATTTAATTAAAACAGAGCTATATTTTATTGGCTTACTTCCATGCACACAAAGCTAGAACTATTTAAAATAAGAGAAACAAAACCTTTCACACTTTATTTCTAGCAATCTTAATCCATAAGAACAAATGCTTTTGGCCATTTTGAATGGCTTTCTTCAGGTACAATCTGTATTCTCTCTTATTGGCTTACATTGAGAACCTATCCTATGTATATATATTATCCTAGGAATGTATACAAACTATAACTTAAAAAATCATATGTTTTATAAATAATAGATTCAAAGTATTAGGTAAGTGCTTTGAATCCTTATGATTAAAATGGTGACCTATTAGTTTATAAATAAAAGTCTGCCTGATTCTTATTTCATGTTTTTGGAAAGAAAATAATTTATGGATTATTCAAAAAATACATACAGTACATACATAAAGGTTAAAAAATATACAAGTGGTAAATTGATGGTTTAGGGATTATTGATGTGGTTAATTTTAACTATAAAATACTTTTGAAAAATAAGATGAAACATTTGAAAATATTTGTTTATTGGTAGTCAATATAAATTTTCATTGTTTCCAGTTGTTAGAAAATAATTCAGTTATTAATAATTGTAAGTTATAATAATAATTTATTATAACATTATAATTCAAGAAAATGAACTAATTTTAAAACAGTTTTTAAAAAGTTACTATATACACTATTAACAAAGTTATAACAAAATTAATACTTGTATTTATGAGAAGTATTTTTGCCTTTTGAAAGTTTTATTGTTAATGAAAACTATCATGTTAAAACTATGTATTAAAACTACATATGTTATTTTTTCATATTTAAATTAGTAAATAACATAATAATAATATAAATAAATAAAAGAAAAGCAAACATGAAGAATATTGATAGTGAAGAAGAAATATATTAATATAGAAAAAAGACTCCTGCTACAGAATGAAAGTGCCATATATCAAATTACAAATGGAAGATTATTTTTCAGAGGATTTGTAACAAAAATTTGAAATGCTTGAGTGTGTATTCTAGTGAAATGAAATGAAAATAATTTATAAATTAAAAGAAAACTGAAAGATAAATGCTTATTAAAAACTAATGAAAATTTTATATTTAGATGTTCCATGTACTAATTAACATACAGTAACTTGAGATTTGTTGAAAATAATGAGTAAATAATCTTAAGTAGTTAGTCATGTAAAGTCTTAAGACAAAACAATGCTAAGAATAAACTCATTAATGCAAGTGCCTTTATTAATAGGCCTTTTTTTCAAGCATACATTCTAGAACAACTTTTCAAATTTAAACATGTTTGTAATTCAGCAATGGTACATTATAATAAAAATTATGTTAAAAAATATTATTATTAATATAAAATTACTGAAGAAAAGAATTAACCTATCATCAAAATAGCATCAAAAATATATCAAGCAATGTATATGATACTGTATTCACTGGGTGTTGTCAATTGTTTTTTTTTAATCATTTTTATGAGAAACAAGGAACTCACTTGATTATAGCATTTTATGATGCTGATTACATCTCAGAGTTTATGATTGAGGTCTAATAAGAGAATTTTAGCAATTTTGGTGGATCTTTTGTCTGTTGTTATCTCTCTCTCTCTCTCTCTCTCTCTCTCTCTCTTTTTTTTTTTTTTTTTTTTTTTTTTCCTTCTTTTATCAAATTGCCAAAACCAAGCAGTTATACCTGTATAATTGTATATTATTAAACTTGATAAATCTTTATACATACATGTGACTTGATATCATTTTTGATCAAGAATTGCTATCCTGATGTGTGTAAGAAATAACAGCAAACTAAAACAATAAACCAATGCTTATGTTGAATAATCTGTAGATTAATCCTCTTTGAAAAACAAGTATTCATCTAGCATATCTAATTTTAAGTATCAAAGCTGAGAAAAGAAATTTCTTTTTTCTGCTTCTATGGTATGGAATACAGAATGGTGTTAATCATCGGCATTTACTATTTGTTATAGGCAGATAATTAACCTATATTAAATATGGTATACATCACTGAAATCTTATTTAATTTATGCTTTATTTTTTGCTGACTTGATAAAATCATATAAAAACAATAACAATCTTTAATAAGTGGTATCTATGAAATTCATAAGTAAAAAAAAGAAAAAAGTTGGTGTAAATGAAAAGTTATCTGACAAAAGACTTCAAGACACTCATGTTTGCTTAGAAGTCTCTCATGATGCTTTTGTGGGGGCCGAGGGGGGGAGAAATTATAAACTTCTCGATGAACGATAATAGGTGATATGTATCGTCATCGTCTCCCTTGCCATTTGGATTGCCGAGCGGTAACAATCAACGACATGTGGAAGCAGTTGAGTCAGAGATAGATGCTTCGTTTACAAACAACACAACCGTTTATTAAACACGAAAGAAGCTTACAAGATTTCTGCGATCTTGGAAGTTCTACATCGGCTGCGGTCGCTGGGTCTTCCTCTCCTTTCCAAGATAGTCCCATTTTGAAGGAGTGTACCTTGTTCGCGAATGAACCATTCCATCACGTCTCGATGACTCCGGGACGATGCGGTCGACTTCCGTTGATGGAAAGATGTCGATCCGAGGTCGGGAGATGGAGACGAAGATGGGTGTGAGACACACACACAACAATAGATCTGTCACTTGGAACTTTCAGGAGAAGAAGCCGTTGCATCCTTGAAAGTCAGGGGTTTTATCTGTTTTCTCTCAGATTCCCCTTACCGATTGGTCTCTCCTCGTCACCTGATGACAATTCGAAACCTTTCAGGGGCGCGGGAGAGATCAAAATCGAAGTTTAATTCGATCTCCAACCGGAAATGGTCGAAGGACTTACATTCTTCTATTGTTTTAAAGTTAGCGTTGCGTTTTCATATAATAAAAATCTATTTCTAACTAATATATTATTTTCTTTAAAACAAATATTTTAACGCGAATTTTAGTGAGTGTTCGGACCTGTCCAGAGCTTCACACTTTTAAGGCATTTATCTGAAGAGATTGGCTTATCCTTTAGTTTTCATTTATATACCATGTTTTCTTGATTCTAATGTGCCATTGAATTTAATGTGCACCTGTTTTCAAAATGCCAAAACTAAAAAAAAAAAACTATTAGCTTGCAAATATAATGAATACTCTATATTGAAAACTCAGTTATAAAAAGTTAAAGCAATAGTATTAAACACATTTTTTGAAAAGCATTTTATTTTCATGTGTAGTGTTTTGTGATATCTGTATTTTTGAATATATTCATTTATTATTTCATTATCAAGTACAAGGGACCTGTGGAATAATACAAAATCAATGTTTTAATAGCTAGATTTCATATTAGTTTGCAAAAGCATGAAATTTACCAAATACATAGTATCATACTGAAATATCTATATAGATGTTCTTCAGCATAGTGAATAACCCTTTGTTTAAACACAGCTTTGTAGGAGATTCATCTTCTGGACATTTTTCATATGACATATAGTTTAAAAGACTGCCAAACTGTTATAAAACCAAAATTACACCTGAAGTAATAGGAGGGATGTGTACCATATCTATATTGGCATTGTAATACATGCAAATTGCTGACCAGAGTGAAGAGCAAATGATGCTGCATTAAGTTGACTTTGTGCCTGATTCTAATGCTCACTCCAATTTTTTGAAACTCAAAAAATCTAAGAAAAGATGTGCATTAGACCAAGAAAACATGGTAAATATGAAAACAATCAAATCTTAGATTTACAAAGTTGTTCACAAACTTTCAGAGTTTCTCTCAATGTTTAGCAGGGCAGCAATAAGCAGCCCACAAGTGGCTTGGTGAATAAAACTACTGAATACTGATAGTTGGTTGTGTTTGTGTCTGACTAGCAGGCTGGCTGCATGTAGTTTTTTGCTTTCTGAATAGTGATTAGTTTCTCATAGAAAGTTCTCCTAAGAGCACCTTCCCTTGACAGATCTCCCATGTGTTGTATTGCATTATTCTATCAACCAATCTTTAACAAGCATGGTTTGTTCATGATATTGCCAAGTCTGAATTGTGGCATT